GGCGATTGTCGTTCCTTTGTGGGTCCACAGTAACATCGTAAAAAGACCTTATATGTATATAGATGATTGTGGTTCGACGACTCTTGTATCTATATAAGGCATGCCCTGAATCTCGGAACCTCTGCTTTAAACTTGTTACTATAAATTCCTCACGTGAATAGTTTCCATCCATACTTACAGACTCGCTCGGTTAGTTTTCTCTAACTAATCTTCATTGTCATTGATTTCTTGTTTGTGTCTTCTATCTACTCTGATCTGTATCTATATTTGTACATCATAGATTCCCAGTTAAGCTATGATATGACGGAGGTGACAATAACGTATTTGTCATGCTATTAAACGATGCAGTAGATCGATTGTTTACTGTCAGCCGATACCATATTTGTATCATTATGTTTCAGTTACAGCTGTTTAGAGATAGTATCTGTAATATCTGGTTGCCCTATAAATATCATGTCTAAGTCACAGCTGTTTTGAAATAGGACATTGCAGTATCTGGCTGCAACATCACCGAACAATATATGGGAATTCCGTCGCAGGCCATTTAAAGCAATCAGGTGAAAGCATCTTGCCAACGATACATCCACGTAAGGACCTGCCCATTTCTCAGCTTCTTGAGAAACACAAACTGCCACAGGTAGGGCGCGTTGAACCATCCACTTCCAATTTAGTCCAACACACTTTTATTCTACTTGTGCACGTGGTATGCCGTACATAGTCGATAATCATACCAATGGAATTCTTGGTTTGATCCAGAGTGTAGATTTTTATTGGACAAAAGCTATGACCGATTAGTCTCACAATCAAACGGGCACAAATAGGGAATAAGGTTGGGACGTAAGAAATTTAAGAAGCGCGCACACACATCCACACAAACACACACTCAAACTATCATCACAAACACAAGCAAACAAACAAAACTAAAAAAAAACAAAAGAAACACACATATACCTCCGTGATTGGGATAAAACGTGTTTTACTATTATTCCATGAAGATGTTGATTATGTCATTTTTCAATATATATATTTAACTTTATTTATATAGATATATAAACTAATATATAACAAAGATATTACTTTATGAGTATAGTATCACCGACCTATTCGAACCCCCCCTCCTCCAGTTTTACTTTTCTCTTTTCTACTTGTTCCTAATTCCGCTATTTAAAATTGGCGCCGATTTTTAACTCTAGTCCGTAAGTAGAATTTTTTTTATTTTATGGGGTGAGTTTTCTGTGGACAAGGTATGAATAGATGGTTTATATTCAAAATAACATTTTCTTCTATAATAACATTTCTTGTGCATTTAACTGCCTTTTTATTACCTTTTATTGTAACAACACAAACATTCAATATTTTTTACAAAAATTAATTTTCTTTATTTTTTCAGTTTAGATTTTTTTATTCATTCCAGACAATCGGTACATGAGGAACAATATTTTGATATTGATAATTCAATCACCATTTTCCGTTCAACAATGGTTTCTTTCCCCTTATAAACGGGCCCTCGGCGTCCATCGGCCGAAGGGATTATCGAGATTTATGTGACTATTTTTTTTTTCTTTTTCTTATTTTCACCTACCTCTGTATATAGACCCAAATGTCAATGTATTTCTTGCATTTCTTTCGAGCGTTTGTTAGTGTAATGAAATGCGCCCCTTCTTACGTAGTAAAGCGTCCATGGATACCGGGCCGGCGATGCACACTTAGCATTTTTTTTTCTTTTTCTATTTTTGGGGTTAATCTAATGTTTATAGAAGGTATAAATGAAAAGTCAAATTTAGTTTACATGAATTTATAAATAGAGAGTAGAGTTGAAAAGTCACAATATTTTACGCTAAATATTCTATTGATCATTCAAAGAATAATATAATTTATGCAGTGATGAATCACGTTGGAAACGAAAAAAAATGCATTTGTATATTATAAAAGTTCATAATTCGAAGTGGTCAATTTAGTAGTAACAACAATACGGACAAGTGAATTGTCAAATTTTCGAGGCAACCTGTCCCATTTATCAAGACTCAACGATTACATAAATTAAATACACAAAACATAAAACAAATACAGAGTTATGAAGTTAAAAGGTATGTTTGTAAATATATTAACCTGCTCTCACTGGCATTTGGTCTCATTGGAAGATTTCTACTGGAAGGAGGAAGCTTGATTTGTTAACGATCAAAATGCGGTGCACTCAAAAGCGATTAAGTTGGGTCGGCAAACTGTCTGGATGTGGACAAAGAAGTGTGTAGATTTTGTCATGTATTACGAACTAATAAATATCAGTAAATATTTCAAAAATAGGTGACAGTTCTGATCATGTATTCCTGTACTTTTTTAAAAATTGATTTTTCCACCATCGTAAGCAATAATTTATCCGATTCTTAACCTTGAAGTGAAATCAATATCGTGCTGTCATTGTTGATTGTACATAAAAATTGGAAGTGTTATTATTATGGATTTCGATTTAGAAATAAACATGCTCACATTCTTTGATATACCACGGATTTTAAATCCGGGTATTATTATTAATGAAAAACTCTTTACCCCTGCAGTGGTTCGAAGACACGATCAATCGGTATCTAAACACAAGTCTCATTGCTTTCTTAATGAAATTCCAACACACCAAAGCCTTGCATGACCTGAACTGTAATTACCTCTCTAATCCTACTTTTCTCGTCTGGAATAGATATATAGAACCTCGATAGACATCACCAGAGTGATCGATCACTAAAGAACACACCACTTCTATATTCCTTGTCATTGAACACTGAATGATAATGGCAAAAATACAGTTTAAGTGATGAAAAGGACATTCTGATATGTACTTTCTTCAGTTCTGTCTTTCCATACTGATATAGCAATTCCCCATTTCTGCGTACTTATCAGAAATAGCGATTACAAACTTTGTCATAAACCACAATTTTCTTATCACTGCACTCCTAGGAACCAAGGCAAACCTACTAATAACATGTGATAATGATCCCAGATATAGCCATTACAGGAATTGATTAAGGATGGCTGGACGGATGGATTATGAACATAGGGCGATTTGAACAGCCCGACATCATCAAGATGCTGGTACAATATGTGACATTATATTTGAACAAGAAATCCCAGAGGGATCTGGTGCCCACCATTGTTTGATCTTTACTCTTATTTTCTTTTCTCTGTTTTGGCTCTAAATGATAAGAAAATTGAACATTCCTTTGCAGAAGCAGCTATAACAATCTTTCATTGCTAAATCCAAGAGGGCCACATGGAAGCCATTTTTCTGATCAGTCCCAATATCAAATTGGCACAACTAGGGACCGAGGGGAAACCACTTATGAAATTTAAGAAAGTTCTATTCTGTCGTTATCAATAAATGGTGACAATCTTTCAAAGATAATATCCAAGATGGCCGCCTGTCGGTGATGATATTTTTCTGATCAGTCCTAACATCATACACATACAACTATTTACCACGGGATCTACGTATGAAATTTGAGAGAAATCCACTCAGTACATCTCATGAAATGGCGATAACAAACTTTACTTGGCGAAATCTAAGATGGCTGTCTGTTGGTCAGTACCTCTGTTTTATATAAAGAATCAGAGTGGGGTCCCTTTGATTAATGAAAGCAACTTGAATTATTAATGGTGTCTAGAATCATACATGATCAAACTCCAAGTTATCAGAAAGAAATTGTTGAGCCACATCTATATGATCCAGCTCTAGACAGATATTCTCTCTCCGTACCGCTAGAACATTTGATCCTCTTTGTCAAACAGTCACCTTCTTTATTAGATTCTTCCTGACTATATTTAAATAGTTATGTGTTATGTGTGGGGGAGGACTTAAATACGCTATGCCTGATGTCCAGTCGCTGTGATGTTATGTGTGGGGGAGGACTTAAATACGCTCTGCCTGATGTCCAGTCCCTGTGATGTTATGTGTTAGAAAAGACTTAAATACGATCTGCCTTATGTCCAGTCCCTGTGATGTTATGTGTGGGGTAAGACTTAAATACGCTCTGCCTGATGTCCAGTCCCTGTGATGTTATGTGTTAGAAAAGACTTAAATACGATCTGCCTTATGTCCAGACCCTGTGATGTTAAGTGTGGGATAGGACTTAAATAGGCTCTGCCTTATGTCCAGTCCCTGTGATGTTATGTGTTGGGTAGGATTTAAATACGGTCTGCCTGATGTCCAGTCCCTGTGATGTTATGTGTGGGGTAGGACTTAAATACGCTATGCCTGATGTCCAGTCCCTGTGATGTTATGTGTGGGGGAGGACTTAAATACGCTCTGCCTGATGTCCAGTCCCTGTTATGTTAAGTGTGGGATAGGACTTAAATAGGCTCTGCCTGATGTCCAGTCCCTGTGATGTTATGTGCGGGGGAGGACTTAAATACGCTCTGCCTGATGTCCAGTCCCTGTGATGTTATGTGCGGGGGAGGACTTAAATACGCTCTGCCTGATGTCCAGTCCCTGTGATGTTATGTGTTAGAAAAGACTTAAATACGCTCTGCTTGATGTCCAGTCCCTATGATGTTATGTGTGGGGCAGGACTTAAATACGCCCTGCTGATGTCCTGTTCCTGTGATGTTATGTGTGGGGGAGGACTTAAATACGCTCTGCCTGATGTCCAGTCCCTGTGATGTTATGTGTTAGAAAAGACTTAAATAGGCTCTGCCTGATGTCCAGTCCCTGTGATGTTATGTGTGGGGGAGGACTTAAATACGCTCTGCCTGATGTCCAGTCCCTGTGATGTTATGTGTTAGAAAAGACTTCAATACGCCCTGCCTGATGTCCTGTCCCTGTGATGTTATGTGTTAGAAAAGACTTAAATACGCTCTGCTTGATATCCAGTCCCTGTGATTTTATGTGTTAGAAAAAACTTAAATAGGCTCTGTCTAATGTCCAGTCCCTGTGATGTTAAGTGTGGGAGAGGACTTAACTAGGCTCTGCCTGATGTCCAGTCCCTGTGATGCTTAAAACTGGAAAAAGACACAAGACAGTTTTTTATAATTTTATCTTAAGCAATACAGATTTGAACAAAATTCATAGAAAATTAATTTCAGAATTCATTTCAGTTACGTTCAGTCGCTTTTCTATACTTAGTTTCTGAATTTCCTTGTTGTGTATGTTACTTCTACTCCTTGTGTATGGAAGAAACCAGGACAGTGGTTACTTGAAGAAATTATAGGCTACAGCAGCAGCACTCCCAATGGCCATCTTGGTAGCAGTGCCTAAACCTGCAGCTCCAACCGACTGGAGGACAGCCACAGCACTTCCGGCGGCTACACCCCCTCCATTAGCTACAGCGGCGGCAGACATGGCTTTTGCTGCTAGGGAACCTGCAGCAATCCCGCCAGAAGTGAATCCTGCAACACTAATGACAGCCGGAACCAACACCACTGTTCCAACGGCTACAGCGCCTGTATAAGCTAATTTGTCCATCTTTGGTGCCCTGTAAGCAAATGATGCACAAAACTTGAAGATCTTCAATGAAGTAAACAAAAATCCAGTAGCTTCCCTAGAAATTTGGCCATTTTGGTTTGCTTGTTTCAATTCTTTTCCCGATAAGTCTCGAAAAGAGCAGGTAAAACTAATCAAACGGATATATGAATCTAAAAGTTCCCTTTCAACATAGCAATGACCAACAATTGTGAATCACAATATGTCTCAGAATATAGGACAAAGGGGAAATTACTTTATGCAGTGACATAATGATCAACTCCACAATCATCTATGCTATGAAATGATGCAGTAAAAAAATTATGACCATTATTTCTCCCATCATTCACAGGCTTGTCACCCGTTTTACTTGTTCAAGATTTCTATGTCAACCCCTAGGGTATGATTTCTCTGTCAACCCCTAGGGTATGACAAATAGCGCTAGCACCTGAAGTGAACAGAACTACTTTTACGCAAGTTGTCTGCTACATGTATATAAACAAGTACACATGTACAAATTTACCAATAGCTCAAAACCATGTTTGAAATAGGAGACACTGTCAGCATAGGATCTGGAGGTAGGAAGGGAAAGATTATTGACAATTTTCGCCCTATAGGAACTTGTATGATGTATAAAGTCTGCATGACTGACACTGGCGAAATAGTTAGTGCAGCAAAGCATGAAGGGAATGCACGATGCGGAGTTCCAATTTTAGAAAAAGTATGATGGGAGAAAAATAATCAACCCCTACCTTTTGGGTGTAACAGAGAAATATCCAACCTTCGGGGTGACTTTCTTGGTTGTCTAACCCTCTGCATAGCCTTGGGTTAGACAACCAAGAATATCACTCCTCGGGTTGGAGATTTCTCTGTCACACCTTAATGTAGGTGAAGATTCTATTAGTCACAGGGCAAATAAAGGAACAAAGTCCATTCTACTGTGCTAATTAAGTTATTTATGGGTTGGTGGTTTTGACAGAGGAAATTCCCAGAAAGAACATATTGGCATTATTTATACCAGAAAAACTTGGTAACATTGATAGATAACCTTCGAAAGTTTAAGTAAACGACTATATTTCATAATGGTAATATATGTAATATTTACCTTCAAAGACCTGTTGCAGTTTGGTAGTCATAGTCAAATAGTTCAAATTGACAGTGGTAAATGGCCAACTGCGGGGTTTGCACTATATTCTTTAGTTTTATTGGTCTCACTCGCACTCCTTGCACACTTTCCTCACAACTCTCATCCTAATTTACATACTGTATAAGACGTAAACTATCCTGACAGCAAAAGACAAGTACAAGAAGGTCACCCTTACACTGATGTGGCACATTACACAACACGTGAAACCGCTATAATTAGACAGGTACTTTCCACATTACACAACACAGTGGCAATTGTCCGATCGACAACGCTAAAATAACCAAGCCTACAAAAAATCAAGGGAGGCTACTCTCACCATCTCCAACAAACAAAATGTCTTCAGCATTGAACGTCATTCCCAATGATATCGGACTTAATTATACTTCTAACGTATCGTTGAAGAAAAAATTAAAAGCGAACGGTTTCGTGTCTGGGTCGTACTTTCAACGAGTGTCCTTCCAAACAAAGAGACGATGATACAGTTGAAATTAGTGGCCATGTTATCCCAAATCAGTGGAAGAATGGCAAGCCTCATAGGCCGATGTTGTAAATATATAAACCAAATTCGATGAAAATACCATTTGAAATATGAATTCCAATCAATATATTTGTATTTATGCATTTAATGCAAATATCAATAACTATAAAGAAAGTCGATTTTAGTTGACCTAATTATCCTTAAAGCCTTTAGATATCACACATTTCTTCTTTAATCATTAATCAATCAAAGCTTATTTGCTTTGATAGTCATTAAGTTTCACACCTATATTTATTTTATTAAAGGGAAATGTTTGCACACATTTACTTTTATCTTGCAACTATTTCATTATCAAAGGCAATTAGGGTGCATGAATTACATTTTAATAATTAATCATTTTTGAAGATTATTTGTCAATAAATCATAGTATATATATCAAGTGTGTAAATTCTGATACCTTGAACTATATATAAGTGCAAAATAAAAAGAATATGACTATAAAAAGACTTTGAAATTTTAAGTAAAATGTTACACAAATTATGCAACTGATCTTGGCTGAGGCAATATATTTTAGTACTCAAAAAAATTACTTAATTAAGATCAACAGTGTGCTTTTGTCCTAGTGGGATTATGTCCTAGTGGACTTTTGTCCTAGTGGGATTATGTCCTAGAGGACTTTTGTCCTAGTGGGATTATGTCCTAGTGGGCTTTTGTCCTAGTGGGATTATGTCCTAGTGGGCTTATGTCCTAGTGGGCTTTTGTCCTAGTGGGCTTTTGTCCTAGTGGACTTTTGTCCTAGTGGGATTATGTCCTAGTGGACTTTTGTCCTAGTGGGATTATGTCCTAGTGGACTTTTGTCCTAGTGGGATTATGTCCTAGTGGGATTATGTCCTAGTGGGCTTTTGTCCTAGTGCGATTATGTCCTAGTGGGCTTTTGTCCTAGTGGACTTTTGTCCTAGTGGGATTATGTCCTAGTGGGCTTTTGTCCTAGTGGGATTTTGTCCTAGTGGACTTTTGTCCTAGTGCGATTATGTCCTAGTGCGATTATGTCCTAGTGGGATTATGTCCTTGTGGGATTATGTCCTAGTGGGATTATGTCCTAGTGGACTTTTGTCCTAGTGGGATTATGTCCTAGTGGACTTTTGTCCTAGTGGGATTATGTCCTAGTGGACTTTTGTCCTAGTGGGATTATGTCCTAGTGGACTTTTGTCCTAGTGGGATTATGTCCTAGTGGGATTATGTCCTAGTGGGCTTTTGTCCTAGTGCGATTATGTCCTAGTGGGCTTTTGTCCTAGTGGACTTTTGTCCTAGTGGGATTATGTCCTAGTGGACTTTTGTCCTAGTGGGATTTTGTCCTAGTGGACTTTTGTCCTAGTGGGATTATGTCCTTGTGGACTTTTGTCCTAGTGGGATTATGTCCTAGTTGACTTTTGTCCTAGTGGGATTATGTCCTAGTGGACTTTTGTCCTAGTGGGATTATGTCCTAGTGGACTTTTGTCCTAGTGGGATTATGTCCTAGTGGGATTATGTCCTAGTGGGCTTTTGTCCTAGTGCGATTATGTCCTAGTGGGCTTTTGTCCTAGTGGACTTTTGTCCTAGTGGGATTATGTCCTAGTGGGCTTTTGTCCTAGTGGGCTTTTGTCCTAGTGGACTTTTGTCCTAGTGGGATTATGTCCTAGTGGGATTATGTCCTAGTGGACTTTTGTCCTAGTGGGATTATGTCCTAGTGGACTTTTGTCCTAGTGGGATTATGTCCTAGTGGGATTATGTCCTAGTGGACTTTTGTCCTAGTGGGATTATGTCCTAGTGGGATTATGTCCTAGTGGACTTTTGTCCTAGTGGGATTATGTCCTAGTGGACTTTTGTCCTAGTGGGATTATGTCCTAGTGGACTTTTGTCCTAGTGGGATTATGTCCTAGTGGGATTATGTCCTAGTGGGATTATGTCCTAGTGGGCTTTTGTCCTAGTGCGATTATGTCCTAGTGGGCTTTTGTCCTAGTGTGCTTTTGTCCTAGTGGGATTATGTCCTAGTGGACTTTTGTCCTAGTGGGATTATGTCCTAGTGGGATTATGTCCTAGTGGGCTTTTGTCCTAGTGCGATTATGTCCTAGTGGGATTATGTCCTAGTGGGGTTTTGTCCTAGTGCGATTATGTCCTAGTGGGATTATGTCCTAGTGGACTTTTGTCCTAGTGGGATTATGTCCTAGTGGGCTTTTGTCCTAGTGGGCTATTGTCCTAGTGGGATTATGTCCTAGTGGGCTATTGTCCTAGTGGGCTATTGTCCTAGTGGGCTTTTTTCCTAGTGCGATTATGTCCTAGTGGGCTATTGTCCTAGTGGGCTTATGTCCTAGTGGGCTTTTGTCCTAGTGGGCTTTTGTCCTAGTGGGCTTATGTCCTAGTGGGATTATGTCCTAGTGGACTTTTGTCCTAGTGGGCTATTGTCCTAGTGGGATTATGTCCTAGTGGGCTTTTGTCCTAGTGGACTTTTGTCCTAGTGGGCTTTTGTCCTAGTGGGATTTTGTCCTAGTGCGATTATGTCCTAGTGGGCTTTTGTCCTAGTGGGATTATGTCCTAGTGGGCTTTTGTCCTAGTGGGCTTTTGTCCTAGTGCGATTATGTCCTAGTGGGCTTTTGTCCTAGTGGGATTATGTCCTAGTGGGCTTTTGTCCTAGTGGGATATGTCCTAGTGGGCTATTGTCCTAGTGGGATTATGTCCTAGTGGGCTTTTGTCCTAGTGGGATTATGTCCTAGTGGGCTATTGTCCTAGTGGGATTATGTCCTTGTGGGCTTTTGTCCTAGTGGGATTATGTCCTAGTGGGCTTTTGTCCTAGTGCGATTATGTCCTAGTGGGCTTTTGTCCTAGTGGGATTATGTCCTAGTGGGCTTTTGTCCTAGTGGGATTATGTCCTAGTGGGCTTTTGTCCTAGTGCGATTATGTCCTAGTGGGCTTTTGTCCTAGTGTGCTTTTGTCCTAGTGGGATTATGTCCTAGTGGACTTTTGTCCTAGTGGGATTATGTCCTAGTGGGATTATGTCCTAGTGGGCTTTTGTCCTAGTGCGATTATGTCCTAGTGGGATTATGTCCTAGTGGGGTTTTGTCCTAGTGCGATTATGTCCTAGTGGGATTATGTCCTAGTGGACTTTTGTCCTAGTGGGATTATGTCCTAGTGGGCTTTTGTCCTAGTGGGCTATTGTCCTAGTGGGCTATTGTCCTAGTGGGATTATGTCCTAGTGGGCTATTGTCCTAGTGGGCTATTGTCCTAGTGGGCTTTTGTCCTAGTGCGATTATGTCCTAGTGGGCTATTGTCCTAGTGGGCTTATGTCCTAGTGGGCTTTTGTCCTAGTGGGCTTTTGTCCTAGTGGGCTTATGTCCTAGTGGGATTATGTCCT